AACAATTATTCAGATATCCCCAAGCCTATATAGTAATAAACAGAACGTGAGTTACGATCCTTGAGAATGTCCTAATGCGAGCGGGACGCGCGATTAATTCATTAAGCGGCGTATACGGATTATTTAATCGACGAAAGGGTGACCGTCGTCGTCCAGCCCCGCACTGACTGTGCCCAAGCATTCGAAATATTTATTCTCTTGTGCATATATACCTTATTATACTCTCTGTGTGTCTGTGTGTGTGTATCTGCGTGCGTGCATTTGTGCATGTGCGGTACTGTTGCAAGAATTTTAATAGCTATTTACCGCTTTCTAATACTCGCGCGCATTACATACACACACACACACATGTACACGCAGACACGCAAATATAAACGTACGTACGTACATCGGCTATAATATAAGCTGCGACTCGCGTGTATGGTACCACCGCACGTAACCTTGGCGGATCACACACGCACACACACAAGAAACGAGAGTCACATAAATCATGACGGAAAATATTCCACGCGCGCCCGAGCTTTATAATAAACAATTCGTAAAATCGCGCGCGTGTGTGCCGCGGCTTGGCGCGGTTTACAGGATACACTATGCGGCGCGACTGAAAAAGAGAGAAATAAAAAAATTAAACCGGCGAGAGACGCGTATATTGTGTGTATAAAAACAAACGGCTCGGGGATCGGACTGAACGAGCGTGTCCGCGTATACACGTATAATGCATGTAGAGAGAAAAATCCCAAAGCCGAGACGAGTAAGAGAGAGACTATTTGCGAATTTATAAAAGATTTTTCACCGGTATATACGTTTATATATACCGAGGTATATGTGTATATAATCGGTTCTCGAAGTAGGTAAGGAGCCTCCGTACTGCTGCTGCTGCTGTGCACGTATGGTGGATATATAGGTACGTGTATATCCCATACGCGGTGTCGTTGGCTGAAAGAGAGAGAGAAGAAGAAGATGCGCCGCGCTGCATACACCGTAACCTCGATAGCTGCTCGTAAGTTTATGGCTGCACGTTGCCTATGGAACACAAGTGCAGCAGCCACATATCGATGATCGTCACGATTTAACCAAGATGCACTAATAAGGTAAATTCGCGCGCGCGATGAGTATATATAAAAGGCCCCCCCGGTTTACGGTAAAAAAATTTTCGCGCGGGATCACCGGCTAGCGAAATAGAAATGCCACGACGCGCGGGTTTATAATCGGCAGCCGCGCGGCGTTTTGTTGTAAACATGTCGCTGTGTAGCGAGCATTACTCATGCTGTGAGCTGCGCACCGTGTGCGGACAAGTGCAGCAGCTAAGGTAGTAGTATATACGGAGTTCGAGAGCTAAGCGATTTTCCAATAGCGTCCAGCGGAGAGGAGAGTACATAACTCCGAAGACGACGACGACTACTACTACTACTGGTCGCAGATGCGGACGACGATCATCGTCAATGACTGTATATTATAAGTCGTAAATAATCGTTTTCCTTTTTTTTTTCGCTGCGCAACGCGTCGCGTCGATTAGTTCGATCGCGGTGGCTATTTTTCAATGCCTCTCAAGAGCTCTCGTCGTCGTCGTTGAGCACGGACTTTTTGACGTGTGTATTATAACGTGATTGACTAACTTCGACTGTTTCCACTTTATTTATTTATTAATTTTTTTTTTAATTTATTTATTTTTTTCACGATCGTAAATAAATGCTTCGATACACGATGATAAAACCACAATAATACAGCACGTGTGCACAATTGCTCCGAATACAAATAATCAAGCAATCGATAGAAAGTAATCTCTACTGCTGCAGCTCTCGCTCTCGAAAGCTGCTGCTGCTGCTAAGCTTACGGAGCTCTATGCGGCGATCGTCATCATCTCTCTCTCTCTCTCTCTCTCTCTCTACGGGCGAAATTTGAGACGAAGAAAAAAAAAAGCAACGAGTCACGACTCGACGTGAACCTGTGCCATTAAGCGTGTGTATTATATGGTATCATAAGCGAATCACTGCAGCTGCAGCAGCGAATCTGTACGTACATATGAAACAGACGTATGTGAGCCGCCGCTGCGCAGCTCTAAAAACTGGTTCAAGAAGACAATCTTTCGAGACTAGGCAGAGAGAGAGAGAGGAAGAAAGAGAGAGGAAGAGCATTCGAAGATGCCTCACGCGATAAAACGCGTGTGTATATGTGTGCGAGTGCACGAGAGGTAGCCCTTTCCTTGGCTGCATACACGTACCATCGCCGAAGTGCAGTCGAGTGCCGACAAAGAAACACACGTATAAGCTTCCTAGCTGGCGCATATACATACAAAGTTGCATGTATTTACATGCGCGCCGCGCGCACACAAATGTAACCACCTTCAGGGGGGACTTTGAACTAGTTTTGCCAACCGTAGAAAGAGAGAGAGATGCTGCTGCTTTTCTCTCGACTCCTCGCGTGATTGGGTCACGAAGGTTCAGGCAGTAGTAGTAGTACACACAGCAGGCCGCATTCGTATTTTGTGCTGCTGCTGCTGCTGCTGCTGCTGTAGGGAGAAAGAGAGACGCTGCCATAAGTGTTTATATTCCGCAAAACTCTCTCTGTTTCTCCGAGAGTCTCCTCCGAGTTTGCTTTCTATTGTTTGAAATGGTTTCTCACATAATGTATAGAGACTCGGCTGCGCCGATCTTTTTTGCGGTGCTGGTGGTGGTGGTGGTGCGATCGATTTTCCGTATATTTATTATCGTATATACTGTTTTTATGGTTGTTGTTTTTTTTTACTTACTCCGCGTGGTAGTGCACTTATACGTGCACCATAATGGTAAAATTCTTTTATAGGATTATAATGCGACGCGATACATATGGACGAGGATAAATTACGGATGGTAAATCACTGTGCTGTGCTCTCACACACACACACGTATTATAAACACACACGTGTGTGTGTGTATTGGAAAGCAAATGACGTCGCTCCGCGAGCTCGCGAGAGAGGCGAGATTTGTCGTTGAAAACCCGGTCAAAGTTAACGGCGCTCTAAGGTCTCTCTCTTATATGTGTATGTGTGTGTGAATGAATGGATCTCTCTCTCTCTCTTCCTCGAGAAATGAGAAAATTCGTATTATAAATTTGCAAGTATAAATATATATTATGCCGAAAGCTCCACTGCGCTATAAAATCTATCGGGTACGGTTTCGAGCAGCGGCACGATCGGCTTTGATTTTGGCGCGCGCGCGCGCTCATCGATTTTCAAATGTATCTATATAAAACGTTTTCCCGCAGCTCTCTGTATGTTGAGCGATGCGGAATTTATCTTCACACGCTCGTTCGCGAAGAGGCCCGTAAACTTCTTCTTCTTCGCGCAACTATTTCACCTCTTCGTGTGAGGTTCCATTTTTGAGATATTGCATAGACACGCACATACACACACACACACAGACACTTGTTTTTGCTGTCCTATAAATAACAATTATACGAGCAGCAGCAGCATGTCGGGAATTTCTTTTTCATCGCTTGTCTGTACATCGCTATATAGACGGAAAATATCTTGGCGAGCCGAGAGAGAGCTTAATACGTGCGTATCATATCGAATTGGACAATGTGTTTTTCTCCATCTCTCTCTGAGAGAAAATTGCCTATCCTCCTTATAGGTCGCGAGTCTCGTCGTTGAATTCCATTCAAGCATACTCGCCCGCCTTCGCACTGGTCGTTATCGCCGCGCGCGGCGCATAGGCAATTTCTCATTCACACTTACAAGAGGAGAGTCGCCAGAGAGAGAGAGAGAGAGAGGCACGCAAATGAGATTTACACACACACACATAGACGGAGCGCATCCTGCAATATCCCACGCCTCGTTCGCGCGACTATTTGCGCTATTAGGTACACGGACAAAAACACACACATACACACGTAGGTAGAGGCATGACACGCATAGAGCTGTATTATGTACGTACAGAGAGAAGAGAGGAAGGATGACACGGCGGTAGCGAGTACGCGGCGCGCGGCGATAAATTTGAATTTCCAATGGGGCAAGGCAAGAAAAGTATGCATGCATGTATGCACAAGAGAAAGGAGAGAATGATCATCTCTCTCGGCGCAGTATCTATTTTTTCCTTTAACCGTGACGTTAAAGGCCGAACTATCCTTGATTTCTTCCTTGCGATTCTCTCTCTCTCTCTGACGCAGTCTCGCTTTACCTCGTGTATTATATGCACTCTGTACACACATACACATCGATATGCGTGCACACTGCACGGTGCACACGCGAGAGAGTGAGAGGGAGTGTGGGTCTCTGTGTCAGAAAGGTCACACTCTTCTCTTTCCGCGCGAACCAAAAGAGAGGAGGTTTCTTATACACATGTATACACAACCCTATATTCCCCTACTACTGCTGCTTCTCTAGTAGCTGCTGCTGCAGCTAATATCGTGTGTGTGTGTGTGCCGTGTGTTCCTTCTTATACATACTATATAGGTACACACATCCTCTCGTCGTCGTCGTCGTCGTCGAGCTGGTGAATGTGAACGTGCGCGCCGCGAGATTCACAATGCATCTCTTCCCATACTTATAAAGAGGGATATATATCGCGCTAGGAAAGAGAGAGAGAGGACGATAGGATGCGATGCCCGCGAAGTGAATACTGTATGCGCACGTGCACTTTTCTCTCTCTCTCTCTCTTTCTCGCGCTCGAGTATGTGTGTGTATGTAGGTGTGTGTGTGTGTGTATGCAGTCGCGCCGAGAGAGGAGAGCGTGCATAGAGCAAAAGGAGCCTCTCATCCCCTTACCTACACACTGAACCGCATCATCGTCGTCGTCGTCGTCGCGGGGCCTATATAGTCGGCAGCCAGAAAGCACACTACGCCAGTCTACCAGCCGACCTTTTCGAGAATCGGTGGTGCGTGTCTCTTCGCCGATCTCGACGCATATACACTAGCCTCTATCCGCACACGTGTGTTCATTTACAAAGTTTATATCATCACGCTACCGAGTAGCAGTTTTATTTTACACACACACATAGTACACACAACACACAAATCGATCATGGAATTACGGAAGTGTTTGTTACCGCTGTTGGTCCTCGTGTGTCTGGCCGAGGCCCAGCAGGCCCAGCCGATCGAAGGTGATTCTGCTGCGGGAGGCCTCCTCGATCGGGGCTACCGCGCGGCCTTCCGCGTCTACGAGGACTGCCAGCAGCGCAACGTCGGCGTCTCCGCCTGCCTCAAGAAGAAGGCCATCACGTTCTTCGATCGGCTGGGTCGCATCGACTCGCTGCCCATCTCCGAGAATCTGGAGCTGGTCAAGGCGCCGGGCGCCGAGCCCTACGAGCCGGCGGCGCGCAACTTGAGCGACGTCGAGGCCACCCTCGGACGCACCTCGGGCGCCTCGAGGGACGAGGCACTCAACGACATACTGCTGGATCGCGTCTCGGCGCTGATGAACGGCTTCAACGTGCAGATCAGGCTGCCCAAGACGTCGCCCGTCGAGCTGAAGAGATCGATCGAGGAGGGCCGCGGCAAAATGAAGAAGATGATGGGCATGATGATGATGGGCATGGCCATGAAGATGGCCGCCATGATACCGATCGCCATGGGCGTGCTGTTCCTGCTGGCCGGCAAAGCCCTCATCATCAGCAAGATCGCCCTGGTGCTGTCCATGATCATCGGCCTGAAGAAGCTGCTGCAGCAGAAGCAGGGCGGCGACAGCCACGGCTGGCAATCCGGCGGCGGTGGCGGCGGCGGCGGCGGCTGGGACCGAAGCTTGAAGGACGTCGAGCACGCGCACAACCTCGCCTACGCCGCATCCAAATAGGATGTCATCCATGTCCATCCATGTAACCCACCCCACAAACTCCCCAGATTTAAATCATTGTCCATACCATTCCCGCAATATTACGTAATTAAGAGTGAGAGAATGAGAGGTGCAGTATACACACTTCGTTAAATCGTCGTATAACCTGTAGGAAAAACGGAAAAATGACTGACGCCGACGACGACGACGACGACAGCGACGCTCGTGGGTGACTGAGCACACACACGTCCAATAATAATTGTACAGAAACTGTGACGAAACGTGACGCTAACCTCGACAACGTAGACGCTTTTATCTAATTATTTTATCAATAAATGTTGTATGCTAATTTTTGGTAGCCAAAGTGAGCGATGACACACGCATTGACTCATTACATTATCATCGATCGTTGTAGATATTCCATTATACATTATCATCGTTTCTTCGAGACGTCGCTTGGGCTTTTCTATACTTCGAGTGCTTTACGAAGAAAAGCTTTAACGCGACGTCTTCCACACGACTGTCATAATTCACTTTGGCTGCGCAAGAGTGTGAGTGTGGATCTTTTTTTTTTTTTTAATTCTTCTCTTCGATGCATACGTAACAAATCCATGAGTGCTCGGAATAACAATTATGCATACTATCAGTATTAGTACTTGATGCCAATCTCGTACCGAAATTTTGTTTTATTTTCTATCGTGCGTGCGTACTTGTGTACAAAAGTGTTCTTATTCCATAAAGCATGAACAACAATGACAACGAAAAGAAAGGTGTACAAAGTAGAGACTAGATTTTTCTTATTTTTATTGAATGATCGAGGAACTTGACTATTTTCTTTTTTATTGTTGAATCAATTCGGAGATTAGTACATTCGAAAATTCCTTAAAACTATATTAATTTATTTTCTCTCTCTCTATGACGCGATGGAAAAGAACGAAGACGCAATTTTTTAACAGTGACAAAGAGGCACAAAGAAAGCCATAAATGTATTTAAACGTATTACAATAAAACTGCACAACGAAGCTGACTCGACGATTTTTTTAGTTTTTACTCTTTTCTTCATAATCAAAAATAATAATAATGTACGGAAAAATGAAAGAAAGAAGAAGAAGAAAATCTTTCTTTTCTACGACAACGTATTGCTAAAAAAAAAACAAAAAAACAAAAAAAACGAATAAAAACGATACAGTTGTTTGAAGAAATTTTTCGTACATTCAACTAACCTTATTTATAATGGTGCGAGCCAGTGGCGCTTATATATATTTATAATAAAATACGGTTGTCTCGCTTGAAAATATTTCATTAAAAACTTTTTAACATCAAAAGCTCTGCAAAGCCACGAGAGACGATTCATAATCGCACTGTGTATAAAGCAGCGCCGTCACGCGAACATTTTATAAAATAATATACGTGTAATAACTCGGTCGGCATTTCAAGAGAGAGACGAAATCGTCGTACGCGTGAGGCAATCACGCGTGCACGTCTCTTTCTCTCTCTCTCTCTCTCTCTGAGCTCGAGAATACTCTCCCGAATGACAGGCACTACTTTGCATCTTCTTCATCGCAATTATACGTACACATACTTCCTCATTCTTCGTCCTTTTTTTTGTTTCTTTTCTATATTACTTTGCAAATAACGTTTTTAAGAATAAATAAGAGCAAAAGTAACTCTCGCATCCGTTTGAATTATATTTTGAGCGCGATGGAATGTACGAAAAAGTGCCTGTACATTTACAATTGCAATAAGATCGCGAGCTTTTTGAAATATTCGCAGGCGTAAATGGCATCCGAAAAATTTAAACAAAAATCCTATGTAACTCACACTGTATTCCATCTCTACGTCGTGATTTTTTTTTTAATTCTCACAAGTCGATTGTTTTTAATTGGCTGATATATGAACGCTGTGCGCCGCAAAATGTAATTGTAATATATTATGTGAAATGTAATTTACAAAGCAAATTACCGCAACAAAGAGATTAAAATAAAATCAATTATTTTATTAAAAAAAAAAAAAAAACTATATTCGTCCCTTTTTTTTATTTAATCTAAACCTTTACAATTATCATTAGCTGACATTATCATTCAGCTCGTGTTATTAAATTTGATATATTTTTTTTAAATTTGTTGTCTACAAACCTTTAGACCGCTACAGTGGCCAATATAAAAAAATCTAAATATTGTCTATACACATTTTCATTAGTCTTCAGAAATTAAATTGTCCATCGTAATCAACGATAATTTCATGAAAATTAATTTACTTAATTAAAGTTTTGCAATTTTCTGAAATCAAATAAAAGAGTAAAAATTATATTACACTTGTCTCAGAAAGATTTTTTTTCAGTTCAATATATTGACAGTAGAAAATCTTTTCTACAGCGGTCCACAGGCCTAATCGCCGTACATTTTTCAGGCTCAAGTGATGGGATGGTCGAGACCGATGACAGTTGCAAATAGCGCATAAAAGAATCCGGCCAGACCTGCCGTAAACTTGAGGAGTATCAGTGTGCCTATGAAGGACGGCACCAAGAACATAAATTTCAGCGTATAAGCCACTATTATTGCCACCAAGGCACGCTGCACCTGTTTGTTTTTTCGCCTTCCTCGGCTGACGCCGTTGCGACCTGTTGATAAAATAATTGTTTATTAATTAATGTTACATCATCGTTATGCGAAACTTCGACTTATAGAATTATTTTGACTTTGCTACTTGCAGATTTACAGATATAAAGCTACTCGCCATCTAGCGGTGGAGGCTTGAATAATGGTATTATCGTATTGAAGTGATTGAATAGAGGTCTAAATTTTATGTAATCATGAATTTGTCATTTTCAGTTAAAATATTTGTTCACGTGCATAATTTAATAATTGTAACGAAAAAATTCTAAATAAAAATCAGTAAATGTAAATTATAATATTTAATTTAAATGAAAAAATGAAGCATTAAAATATTTTACTGATTCTCACAGTAAGTCGATAAAAAAGATTTTTACGAAGAATACAGTACATTTTTTGTCTGTATAATTTGTCTGTTTTTGCGATGCGCATTTTGTGGTTAATAATTTAAAAAAAAAACTCATGAACTTGTGAAATATTACTTATGTGCGGTATTATTTGTTTCGTAGTTTACCATAAATAACTTCATTTGATTTGAAATATCTATGATTTACATGATTAAAAAGCGATTGAATAATTTATAATCATGATAAAAATCAAAATAAAAATCAATGAAAACTAAAAAATGTCATTTTTTCTTCGCCTTTGAGGCTGCCTCAATTTCAAACAACAAATTAAACATCATTTTATCTTGAAACAATTTCTGTTTTAATATCTACTATCTACAATCAGTACATTTGAACTATTGAATCCTGGACACAGTAATCCAGTTTTCCAGATCAATAGCCGTACACTTAATGTTGACACGCATATAAAATTTATGCGATCCATAAAAAATGTCGCACGCGTAAAAATGTTCCATAAACTCGACACGTATATCATTACTACAGCTCCGATCACTCACCTGAATCAGGCGCGGTCTGCTGCCTCAAGAAATTGTAATTTCTCTCCATCGCCGCGGTGCCATTATGGTATCCCTCGAGGAACATCCTCTTGTGCAGCCAAAGCTTCCTGAGAATGTCACCGAAAAAATCGGCCGACGACTCTTCACCGCCGCCGCCAGCCTCGCCAGTGTCAATGGTCGTCGACTCGCTTTTGATTCTCTGCAGATAATCGATCAGGAATACCACAAGCACCAAGACTAGATGAACTCGAGCCCACATTATTCTGTCGTTTTTGAAGGGCTCTACTCGTTATGCAATAACAACAATAACAACAACAACAACAACAACAACACCCACTGTGCGTCCAGAGCTGCAGAGGTCAACTCAGTGGCGAAAATAATCCACCATTATCCAACGAAACGAGTGTCGAAGCGCGATGGCACTCGTCACGTCGAAAATTTGCCACGAGCAAACATGTCGTCGTTACACGATCGCGACGAACTGAGACAAACTGCATCAGTGCGGGCACGCTATACTCTAAGCGAGAATGGAAAAAAAAATATCGTATATTTCTCGGCGAATGCGCGTGTGTGATATGCGGTAATATGGACTCGAAAACGCACGACGACGACGACGACTATCGGCGCGACGAACGACCGAGAACTAAGCGGTGGTCGGTGTCTTCGATTCCCATATAACGTACCGGGGGTTTTTCATCTGTATACTACGACTACTTCTACTACTATTCGCTCACGCGCACTTACTGCCGCTGAAACGTTCGTCGTCGACGTCGTCGTCGTTATGTGTAACGCTTCGGTTGTCCAGAAAATCGACCGGCCGTGAAAAAAATTCGCCTCCTCCTCCACCCCGCGCGGGCAGTAGCGCGACCACTAATGTCGTCCGATGATCGTGTACGTCGCGACCTATGTAATTTGGGATGCAGGAACGTGACTCGATATCGCACTAATGTGTATGCGTTCGTAGACGATCGGGAGTCTCTCGTGCTGCCGATCATGTATCGATCACCGATGTACTGATCGGTTTGGCTTTTGACTCGCTGCCGCAAAGCTTCTGGTTGGAAAAGGGGGAGGGCGGAAAATCTCCTATTATTATCACAGCCCCACCTATGGTTGCGCGCCACGCTGAGCGAGGATTATACGTTACGAGGCATTCGGAGGGGTACAAAAAAAATGAACGACAACGGCAATAACAGCAAGTGCGAAGAAATGCTACCGAGCTATAACCCAGCGTGGTATAGTTTTTTTCAGTTAATTCGCCAAGTCATAAAAGTTGTGTACGCGTGTATAGTATAGTTTTTGTGCTCCGAGCGCATTTATGCATGTCGTTATTATGCACGACGATTGGCATTGCGAAGAGAGCCAAGAATGCGAAGTAAATGATGTGCGAAATGCGTTTTTCTCTCGAAGCGAGAAATCGATTAAAATTTGTATCAAAAAATAGTTGTAACGAGCGCATATTTCGACTTCTGTGTAACGTGAGTATGTAGGTAAGAATTTTTACTCGGAATCTCGGAAAAATAAAAAGGAAAATGATCGAATTGACAGACTGACAATCATAGAGTCACGTCTCTTCATATTTAACCTCGTAAAATATATGAAAACATATAGGTGATGTATCGTCTCTTCATTTCCTGTAGAAATTGTATATGGACGAACTGTAAACATTGAGGCTGATGGAAAAAAATACCAACTTGTGTGTGCGTGCATGTGTGAGTGTGTGCGATGCATATAGTAACGAGCCCCAACTGTAATTGCTGCGCGAGCAGACAGACTGTACACTCGCACGCATATCAATGTATATGGGCCGAATCGCGTCAACTCGTATGCGTCTTTTCTCCAGCAAGACGAAGAAGTAAGGAATTGTTTCCCAAACCCGTGCTTCGACTTGTATACCATTGTTTATACTTTGCCGCTTGCAGGTTTACAGATGAGAGTACTCGCCATCTAGTGGTGGAGGTTTGAATTAGTTTTATCGTATTCAATATCATCATTTTCGGGTCATTTAAAGTGCGATCACTATTTTGTACATAATTTTTACAAGAAAACCCCGCGAACAGTATTTTAACTATTTATCTAATAATTAAAGAACTTGTTTACATAATGTACAAATAAATATAACATAAATATGAACGTAAATGAAAGTTTGCACGTTTTACAGGAAGTAAATAAGTTGCACATGCAGTTCAGTTCATTAATCATGTACAGCAATCAGAATAAAAAATTTGAAAAATTAAATGTTTTAATTCTGTTGACGTGTTTAGCATCTACTACATTACGAACAGTACATTACGAAGTACATACGAACGATAACGATAAAAAAATACATGAAAAGTAACGAATTGAATGCAAATTTTTGATTATTACTTATGTTGAGCATTTTCTACTATATGCATATGTCACGTAAGCCAGTTCAACAAAGCGTGTAAGTTTTACAGTTTTTTTTCTCATATTTATACTCTAATCGAAGGTCGTTAGATCGTCGATCTAACTACATAAATGTAGGCACATTTCGGACTTTTACAAGCAAAAGTGGATGTACGAGATCGCCTAAATTCTATCCAGCGATCGGTATTTTCTCTCACTTTGCATACCTCTCTCTCTCGAGACAACAACAATGATCTATTTTTGCGGAGAAAAACAAGACACTGTTATTAATGGACGAAAGTTTTTTTTTCATTTTAAGGATTTTCAAACGATGTTGAATATGCATTTAGAGCAGTATCGTGTCATTAGAACTGTATATTTCTGCTTTTTAGAACAAAAATTTACATGCTGTAATTTTTTCTCTCTCTCTCTTTCTTTCTTTCTCTCTTCAACCGCGATTTCGTCTCTGCGCATATTCATTTCGAATCGATATATCCTCTACGTACACGATCGCGTCGTCGTATAAATAGGCTAGTGCGCGTTCATTTTGCATGGTCTGTGATCGGTTTGCGCTTTATTATACTGTTAAATTATAGCGTCGTTACGACGAGAACGTGTCGTAATCGAAAAAATTGTCATTCCACAATTACTATAGACTATGAATAATGCCTCGTTATGAACGTTTCGATGGGCGGCGAAAAAAAAAGATTTTCTCTTGGAAACGAGCCATCGCGCACAACCATGACATTACACGGCAATCACTTAATTTTCAAAATCAAGCGATACGTTATAATTTTTAGCTTTGAAATAATTATTTAGACATTGGTTATTGATCCGGATTTTTGAAGATTTTCGAGTCGTGATTTAGTCGACTGAATTTCAAATTTTATTATATGGAAAATGAATAAATAAAAAATCTAGCTCAGCAAAGGTGGTTGGTTCCTTATCCGAACGCAAGGTGGCGAGATACAATCAAATTTTAAACACGCGATCAAAATATATGAGTTTGATAGATATTATGCTGCTTGGTTTTAAAAATGTCATTTCTGTGTGTAACCCAATATAGTCCAGCTGTAACTAATAGTTTAATCATCATTTCCTTGGGTTACTTCAACAATTTAAGCTCATAATAGGCAAATGAGATTGCTTTTACAGTATAAGAAAATATCTATTTACCTTGAAAGTGGTTGAGTCTAGAGCCCTTTTTATATAGAAAAAGCTCTGGAAATTTCAGGGCTGTGGCTCAAAGGATTCTCTAAAAAAGTTAAATAAATTTGGCCAATAATACTCTCAAGTCAGAGGGTGGTCGCTAGGAAAAAATTTACCTTCATCTCAAGCATAAATACTTGACAGATGTAGTTTTACGAGTCAATTTCACTTCGGCGTAATTATTTTTATCAATCGACGCACACTTACGTACTGACGCGCAGTCGCAAATTCGGTCGAGTTTCCCTCGATCGGTCGCGATCATTCCGGTGGTCGGGTGAAAATATCGCCCGAGATAAATAATTTCGTATATACCGTTTTCGATTCGCTGGAGGAATAATTGTGCGATGTGCAGGCGCGTACCCAACTTCCAACTAATCCATAAATCGAAATGATATTTCTCTGTATATAATGACGAGGGATAAGACGCTGACGTGGTTCGATATAAATGTATTGCTTTTTAATAGTGCACCAGAGATGCAGTTCCGTGGAGAAGTATATAATATTATATTCTTTGGATTCAGCCTTGTACACGCGTATAATTGTGGTTGATGCGCCACAAGCCCGTAACCATGATTTAGTTTTCTTATACCCGTACGTTTCTCATATGTACGTTTCGAAAATACGTACAATATATAATATCGTTGCTCGGCAATCGACCGTCCAGGCAAAAAAAGGAAAATATTTTAGACCTCGCGGTATACCTTCTCTTTTTTTTTTTAAACTTCGAAGCGTACCTCTGCTTGACCGACCAATGATGAATCACCAAGGTGTGTATTGAGTTTCAAGGAGTTACAAAAAACAAGCAAATCGGCCACGGCTAATTGACTTTTGGATTTCTTTTTTCGAAATTCGTTTTATCCGCGTCGAGTAATAGTGGATACCACGCACTCTGCCCGGAGTCGGTAAAAAGGGACTTCGACTCTTTTTTTTTTCGAAACTCTCGCGTCACGTCGCTCCGATGCGTATTGACAGTAGCAAATTGGACAAACTAAATACAATTACGATCGTTTCCCCAAAACAATGGCGCACTAGGGTGCAAAGAAAAAAAAACCAGAATCGAGCTCACCGCGAACGATCACTTTTATCTTTCGTATAATAATTTCGCGTTGGTGCAAAAAAAAAAAAAAAAAAACAACAACACTGCAGCAGTTCTCTTCTTATTATCTAGCCATTGAACCTCGCGGCGCCGATGACGACGACGACGACGACGAGTTACAATCTTCGTAATAGTTTCTTATATTACGCTATACACAGGCCGATTACTGTATTATATACAAGAGAGGTTTTCGCGCTCACTCTCCCACGACATAGTGCGCGGCGTCGGCCGCACTATACATAGGGAACAAAAAAAAGGCATTGGCGTAAAATTGTATAACATCGTCGTATTAGATAATATTGACTGAAAGTTGAAAAAAAAGAAAATGGATAGATTTTCATATTTTGGATTGATATATCGAGTTCGAAGTACGGATCGTATTTCTAATTGTGCGCGAGCTGCTCTGGAATCCGGGCGTTCGCGCGAGAAACTTCTTGAACCCATTATTCGAAGGAACCGATTACGAGGGAAAATATTTTCCAAAGGCATTTTCAGCAGTAAACACGCCTTATTTCGCGTTGTGTGCGAGAGGCTACGGCTAGCCTACATAAAGCTATTTCCGTTCCGCGCGTATATAGTCATAATGTTTCGACCAATTGGCCGAATGAAAAGTACAGGGAGCAGCGCGCGAGCGCGAGCGAGAGATAAAAGAAAAAAAAAAGACAATAAATGCCAATGCACAGTTTTCAGCAGGCAGCCCGGGATCCGTGTGCTGTGGCACAAGTGTCGAACGACCAATGGATAAACAACAACGGTGACCATTGCCAGCAGAGCCGAGGGATCTGCTGCTGCTGCTGCCTGTATATACCTTTCGTCACGCGTCGCTGGCGTGTTAGATGAGCGCGCCAGGAGAGTACACCAGAGGAGGATTTTCTATGGGCTTTCTTGCCGATGCAACTATATAAACCGATCTATTGACGCGAAATATCGACCAGTGCTGGTCTCCTTGTCTTCGCGATCGGTTTCTTGCCACAGATAGTGCGCGCGACTTCCCATAAAACGCAGTGCGAAAAGTGTGATAGCAGATATTGCAGATATACCTCATCGATTGATAAAGAGCGTCGTCACGTGTTTTTTTGTGCGAGTGCAATACAAAAGTGCTCCATGGGATCGATATGATCCATCGCGACAGTTTTTTTTGCCTCGTGTGGTCGCGGTGCTGAATAATTTCCTCTCAGTGAGACAATAATCTCTGCATGATATCGTGAAAATGACGATCATGCTGTGGGCGGTTATTGTCTGCCTCGTTGTGTTACCGATCGCGACGACCGACACGAGTGCCACCGAGATGACGACGACGACGAGCAACAACAATAGCAGCAAGACGACGACGACGACTACGACCGCGATAAAACCGATCGTACGTCAAACGTCGTCCTCGTCGTCGTCGTGGTCGTCGTGGAACAAGGAGGCTTACCTGAAGCGCAGCTTCGACTGGTTCAGCGACAAACTGCTCGGGATACTCGAGACCTTCGTGCCGGACGGCAGACAGGCGAGATCGACGAGTTTGGATGGTACTACGCTTTTCTTTTCCTTTTTTAAAAAAATTATTTAACACGCGAAATGAGAACCCACCCCTGAAAATTCATTGGCAGGCAGAAAGCACAACAAGAAGAAGAAGAAGCTGAAGCTGAACAAGTACGTCTTCCCGCTGATCGTCGGCTTTCTGCTGATCAAGTCGGTGCTGCTGCCGCTGGCCCTCAAAGCCCTGGCGATACTCAGCGGCAAGGCCGTCGTACTCAGCCTCATGAGCCTCATCCTCGCGGCCATCATCGGCCTGCGCAGCATCGTCGGCGGCGGCGGTGGCAACGTACCCTTCCAGAGCAAGGTCGACCTGGTCAATCTGCCGCTGACCAAGTACAAGAGAAAAGACCTGCTGGACTACGGCGACCCGACCGTCGAGGAGGAAACGCCCTATAGGTACTATTCAGATCGGCACAGAAGGAGAAGAAAGTAGAGCATAGACACACGTTTGCGATAGAACAAACAAGCAAACAAGCAAAAAAGCGCAGGCACAACACCATCTCTCTCTTTTTTTTTATGTATTGTATAACAATCCTAACAACCTGTAATGATAACGTTAAAAATATAGTAATGCTTTTTTTGATCAAAGCTAAAAACAAACAAAAAATGTATCAGTAGTTCTTTTTTTTCGTTGCTAATACCCTCTCTCTCTTCCCGTCTGAATCACGTAAAAAAAAACAATGCAAATTTTATTATATCCGATTTCCAGCTGGAAGTTGATCAAATTGGGACCGAATCTTTTGCAATGGTTGGCCAGGTACGCAACGATGGGCCGGCGACGATGAGGCGACGATAATTCAACAGACTATTTGTTACCATGGACACTAATGAGAATTAACGTATTAAATTAAATAAAAAAATTGTTTAGAAATTAAATGATAAGTATATGCCAATAACCGAGAGACTGAGCGAATAAATCATTCAAGATTCGTCGAGTGCAGTGTCTTAAATATATAATATATTTTTTTAAGCTTGTTTTTAATATCTTTTGTACGCGTTTTATAATACTTACTAGACTTACTTTACGATTTTTGTACACGCAACGAAGAAAGAAAAATACATCAAATTTCACATTATATATCATCTAACGTCCATCATCATTGTGAGAAATTTTTCAAATACAACATTTTAATAACACCCCGTGTGTATATACTTCGAAATCACCGTAACGTCGTGGCTCTCTCGATACAAAGAGAAAAAAGAGGCTCGCTCAAATAGTGGCACGATGAACATAAAAATATAGCAATAATTTACTCGACTGAAACGACGGACAATTAAATAAAAAAAAGAAGAAGAAAAAAAATTTAGTATCGCGCAACCTCGCCGGCAAATACAACAGCCGGAGAGAGAGTTATAGATAGGTCAAAGATTCATCGCGCCGGGAAAGTATATAGTAATATATATAAGTATCGGCTTATAATAAACGGTACGCTGCGCACGCGTTAACCCAAATACCATGGTCAATAAAAATCAGTCGCCGAATATATTGTCATCCTTTTCGCCGATATATACAGATATATATCCGCGTGCTCGATCGACGTTGTCATCGAGATGGAATTTTTACTTTTTTATTTTTTTTTTTATTAGAAACTCATCCGCGTCTGAGTTTTGAACTTAATGTCGATTAAAATCTAGAGCGTAATCTCTGGATTACTTGTATCAAAAATATACGAGTAAATCATGTGGAGATTTCTATATCTATGTCAACTCCATAATATTCGTGTAAAAACTTGAACATGCAATATACCTGGTAATGTTTATGTTAAATTTGAAACTTTTTTGTAAATTCCGAATCATATGTAAACACAAATTCATCCAAAAAACGGGCAATTTTTGGCCTTTTTCATAAGTTTTGATATTTAACTCATCCCATTTTTAATTTTTAAATTCTGATAACCCTCGATTCAGCTTTTTAATCAAAATCATCACTAAGCAATTCTTAATCTGTTTTTTCGAAAGAAATACTGCTAACAAATAAGTAGCATGCCATCTAAGCTAGAGAAAAATTTAAACTCCTTATCCCATAAAGCTCTCTCGTAAATTGTCTTACAATTTTCAGGAAACATAGTTTTTAAGTAATCAAATCGAGTGGAATTTTCATTTTGAGTGTGCGTGCTTTATCAAATATTTCATAATACGAACATGGACTCTATCCACAATCCGCATTCATATTCATTTCGAGTGTTTCTTGAGCAAATTTCGCGTTATAATCGCGGTTTTTGACCCTTTGGAAAAAATAACGTTTAGTTCCTTTATTCAAGTGATGAAAAATAAATATTTTGACCATTTTTTAACAGTACATACTGTCTTAAGGACGTTGGGGACGCAACCGAGTTCAAATCAGCAACTATAAAGAAACAGCTGAGGAAGAAAACTGAGGAAGGTAGATACTTGATTTGACTAGGTGTAGGTTCGGTGGTATCATAGGCTCAAAGCCAATACATGTGCTATCACGCGTATTTTTGTCTGCTGTTAACCTCTCGAGTTAGATTGCATGTAGAACATTCACGAAATTTTTTTATTTTTATAAAATTACTTTGAAATATGCTCATGAATATACCATATAACCGATACCATTTGACAGGTAATGCTTTCACCTTTCATTATGCGAAATTTGGTCACGATCTCCCATTTTGACCTAAAGTTACACTTAAAATTGTTTGAGAAAGCGACGCTTTCCTATGATTTCCATGTTAAAAAGTGTACTTTTAAAATTAAATTATACAAAAATTCATTCGACAATCGATGCTAAAGTTTCGGGAGAACATTATGAGTGTTATTAACTATCAAATTCCGAAGGATCAACTTCTTGGCCCAACTTGACCTAGAGGTCCCCAACGTCCTTAAAAATATGTTTATTTCGCATCATATACTTTTCATAATTCTCAAAGGATCTAGTCCGAATTGGATGGGCACTTCAATCCAGATGCCTAAATCTCATAAAAGAGTTAAAAAAGTGTGCTCTAAATAAAAAAATTACTTTTAATAGCAAAATATTCATCGTCGTCGCTTAAAATTCACGGCTCTCGCATCCTCGCGATCATTGATTTATTCCCAACGAATTGCAGAAAAAGTATCCTTTCAAGAAATAAAGAAAGAAAGAAAGAAGGAAGAAAATATTTACGACGAACAAAACACGCCCGTAAAACAAAAGTATACGAAAGTTATTAAATTTGCGTTGCAAGTGGCCCGTAAATCTAATGATCTATTTGTTTCTCTGCGCGAACCGAGAATCCTTCTTTTCTCTCTCTCTCTCTCTCTCTCTCTCTCTTTTCTTTCTCTCTGATTAAGCTCTCTTGGCTGCGCTTCTCCTTTTCTCCTCGGCATGCGCAGGTACTAAACACACTTTTTTTTGTTACGCACAACTCGTGCGTACGTACACATGTTTATAACTTTCCATTTCCTCTCGTCGTCGTCGGTGGTACTGCGCGCGAGCAAAGAATCGCAGCGTCGCGCGGAATGACACTTTTTGTACATCGTGTATACATACGATACACGCGTGCGTATTATACGTATACTTTCGAGTGCGTTACTCCTTGATTTTATTTTCTACTCCAGGGGCAATGAATCCAGAGAGAGAGGATGTGTGATGCAACCTCGCGATGTAATTGACACGATACAGATTTTTTTTTTCGCTTGATCATTTATTAAGACATGTGTATGTGCGTGTATACAGGTATACACAATACGCTCCTTTTTTTCTTTTTAATGCATAATACTCGCGTGTGCGCGCGAACGTTTTACTTTCTCTTGACGTCAGAGCGACGCGATCGAGCTTTGCTTTGCTTTACGCGCGTGTGTGTGACTCAATATTATCTAAAGCACATCATTATCATTACACATGTATATTATAAAAAATGACTTTCTCTCCGGGCGCGTTCGGGTCCATATTATAACATCGCGCGGAAGAAAGTGAAATTAATAATTCGGCATTTTTTCGGCTGCCGATCATGCTGCTAAGTCGCGCATATCTTCGATATATTAACCCGGCCGCACCATGGCTCGGCGAAAGAAAAGGAGAGGAAAAGAAAAAAATTATTCACGCGCGTCATGCGTGGACCTCCCTGCTGCTGCTCTCAGCTTGCGGAAGACACTCCCGCGCGCGCGAGTACAATGTAATTTTTCGTACTCCTCGCAAAAAATAAAAGAAAAAAAAGGAAGGCCCAAATACTCGAAAGAGTCGAGAGAGTATACGCGCATCGCATAGAGTGCCGTGTATCGCTTTACCGTTAGGATTTTCGGGATGATGATGATCGCGACGCACCCGTAGTATATAGTAGTACATCTCTGCGGGGACTGTTAAAATATTTAAAGAGAAATGAATTATTGGACTCGCAGCGAAGTCTTGATGTATGTACTTTGTTGAAGTGAGGCCCACGTGTGGGTCTGCGTATACACACACAGACAGACAGACATTTTTCTTTCTTTCTCTGTCCGCGCGCGTATAGCAAGTATTTAGCGCGTGTATGGTCGTATAAAACGCAAAATTTACGATTTGCTCTCGAGAGCACGCGCATATATACAAGGATGAGCAGTCGGTGCATCGAGTGCAGCCGGTACGACGACGAAAAGTATAAAAAGGTTGTATTGTTGCTGGCCGAACGTATGGGAAAATAATGGGTTAAAGACTGCTGTGCTCCGCTCCGCGCGGGGTTGTACGCATAAATATCGGCAGCAGTGCGCACAATTATCCCAAATTGCGCGCAGCCAACTTTTTAAAAGGCAACGTTTTAGTGTTTCGGGATGCGCTCCGCATTCACGAAGAAGAGACTTCGTTGTATATATGCCACTTTGTGTAGTATACGCACGCGGATGCACAACGAGCGAATATGTGTGCCTCGAGAGAGAAAAAATGTACGGCATTGACCCAATGAGATATATGTAACGAAAAAAAAATCTTACTCGTCGAATCGATTACATAAAAAAAAAATCAAAGGTTTCGAGGGTTTCTTCGAGATTTTTTTGTTTTTGACCTTTCTCGATTACGAAACAGCCACACAATTATTATCTGCGTGAGAACCATTTCTCGGAGAGAGAAATCAAAGTCGTCAAACTATTAAAAAAATTTCTATCGTTAAGAGCCGATGATTGTATCGAAAGTCAAAAAAAAAAAAAAAAAAGTTACCGAGAATCTTTGAATTATTGCACAACTTCGTGAGGTAACGCGTGTAAAAGCTTAGAAAATCTCGCCCGGCCGAACGATGCACGATCCGATGATCGTGATATATTAATGAGAAAGAAACATTTATCGTCGCGCGCGTGTATATAATATTGCATAAGAGAGCGAAAACTAGTCCTGCACTCGCGGGAGCGCATATGTATATACGTGCTGCTGCACCGAGAGGACGACCAACCGGTTTCGCTCGGCACGCGTCGCGTAAGCTCGATATCCCAGTGTCAAGGCTGTATCTTATGTACGATGGTCACTTTCGATCGCGTGTGCCCCGGTGTAATAATCGTGCGAAAAAAATGATGAATGAATACACTACGTCCAGGGTCAGGACATCCTTTTTTTCTCTCTCGTTATTGACGTTGTTTTTAAAAAGGTGTCACTCGCACACGGGAAAGAAACTTTTCGCTACTTTTTTTCTCGTCGGAAGAACGAAAATTCCTCGTGTCAATACACCTCGTTTGAAAGTGATGAGCCTCGGTGACATTTCCTCGCCGATGAATTAAAGCTCTCTATCTCTCTAACGCAGTAAAAGTATTTTAACATTTCACGTCTACGTACGTACGTACGTACGCACGTTTTAAACGTTTCGCAAAGCCGACAAAAGCTCCACCACGGTATAACGCGCGCGCCCGGCGATAAATAACGTCTCCGCCGCGTGTCGATCGCGCGGAATTTGATTTTCCATCGATGCTAATAAACGTTTCGATATATCGGCGCCTATATAGCTCGCGCACATACCAGGACAAATTTTTCCCTCGTTGTATAAGTCAATCGAAAGTTCTGACGCACGCAGTGCCGCTTCTTTATGTATGCGTATTTGTGTACATTTCAAAACAGATTTTGCCGCTTCGTCTCGTTTTATTATATTACGCGGGCCGAAAATGGGACTTGCAGCTAGGCGAAAATGCATCTCTTTTTATTTCTCTCTCTAGTTTCGCGATGGTTGTTATAATTATAATTGCGACTGCAACTTGACACGACGACGCGCGAAAATATTAAATGCCAATATAATCAAAGTGACCTGAAAAATAAAAGGAATACTTTCTTTGCCTGCGAATACAATTACAACGCGCGGCGACACATATGTAGAATACGTCATTACGTATGCTTTTGTCTTTCTGCGAGCGCGCGAATGAGAAAGTGCTGCTGCTGCTGCTGCTGCCCGAAAAGCATGCAGGGCTTCACTCACACACACAAGTTGTTGTACTTATATATGCTATATAATAGAACGAACCGCAGGTGTGGTCACGCGCGCGCGCGAAAGAAATTAACATTGCGCGCAAAAGATTTGACACCTCTCTCTCTCTCTCTCTCTTACACTTGAGCTGCGCAGCTCGTCGCGAACGCTAAAATGCAAGCGAATGTGCATTGTTTCTCGGAAGTCGCACATGCATATGCCTGCGCAGCTTTTAGACTCTTTCCGATTTTGCGCGAAAAAACAACACAAAGCTCGCGCCTAGACTCGCGCGTGTATATCGTATGATAGATTGTACAGGTTCGCTTGCCTAGAGAGAAACTTGCGCGCGCGCGACAGCGGAAGATATTGAATACGAATTCCTTCTTTTTTTTTTGGGCCCGTTTCTAGAACTCTTTAACGCTTTGTTTGTTTAGCAGTTTTAGCTGTACGAGAGACGACGCTATTATGTTTTTTTTTCTCAGTACATGTCAATTGATCTCCTCCCGTGGTAGTATAATTTTGCTCTCGATTCGCTCTCCCGCGAAAAAAAACAACGATGATGAAATGACATCACTCTCTTGAGCGATAAGTACCTGCCGAGTCGAGTGCGTGTTTGTCTATGCAACCATATGATATATATTATATATGTGTCAAAGCGACTGGGAATTCACGAGAATGCCGTTAAAGCAGCGCGTTAAGCTGTATACATACCATGTTTGATTAATATTCACATCCGTAGTTTCCGTTGCTATGTATACATGTCCGACAGTGTTTTATTATTAATTCGGTTATCCGACAAGAAATTTATGTTTATTCATTCAATACCATAATGAGTATTTAATTTCGTATTATCTTTTTCGATACACTTGATAAAATGATATTTTTTTTTTTTTGCCTACCGAGCTTTAATCCATACCGATCGATTTGACGAAAAGTACGAGAAAAATCACCGCGACGATCTTGAAAACGTTATAATCCGCGCATACCATTGGGTTTTAAAGTACCTGCAATGAGTGGCTCGTATCTCATTTAGTCGAGTCTCTCAACGAGACGTATTCTTTTTGCTCTGCTCCTTTCTCTCCTCCTCGAAGTGAAAAAAAAAAAAAAAAAATAACAAACGAAGAAAGTCGATGGGCTAATGCCTAAGTAGTAGTGGTAGTAGTAGTAGTGTAGTGACGCGTGTACGACACACACGCACATATTGCGTATGTACATACATACATACATGAGCGCAGGTGTGACGCGCGCCTCGTACTACACATGCTTCTTCTGTGCTGCACGACCCCGACACGAGACGACGTGCGTACGTACACACAACAGAGAAGGAGGGGACCTTGGGTATAAAGATTCCCGACCGAACATGGTCCAACTCAGACACAGTTTCGATAATCATCCGAGCACATCAGAGCATCTGCAGCATCTCTGCCTCTCGGGTCTAACCACACACGTAGTGCGTTAACAAGAAGAAAAAACAAAACACAAAGTAAGCTTGACAATTTACGTACCGAGCTTGCGGGGGACTCGTTCACCGCAGCCGCGGTCGTTTAGATTCAGTGCGCTTTTACAAAATAATTTCTTTAATCAGTTGGACTTTGATCGGTTTTACATTTTTTTTGGTTTTGTTTTCAAAGTGAACGGTAGCCTAATTAGTGCGACGGTAGCTAATGATCGTTGTTTTTTTTTTCGCAGACAAAATGTTCAAATCCGTAGTATTCTGCACCTTGGTGGCCTCGGCCTTGGCCATCCCGGCCCCGAGCGCCAGCCACAACTGCAACGAGTCCGACGACATGCTCAGCTGCTACGCCGTCAAAGCCATCACCTCCCTCGACAGAGCGTCCAGATCGGCCGACATCAATCTCATCGATGGCGTCAGCTTCGTCAGAGAAGGCCCAGGTAAGAGACCATTGTTCCGTTCATTATATTTTTTTTTGCGTATTATCAATCGATCATTAATGAATTTTTTGTCGTTGATTTCGCAGTCGAGCGCACCTCCAGAGCTCTGAAATCCGAATCGGAAGTCATGTCCGGACTGCCAACCGACTACGTCGAGAAGACACTGGCCCTCGCCACCATGATGTACGAGAACGCCGCCAACTTCCTCAAGAGCCACAGCTTGAAGCTCAACATCCCAGACATGGCCGCCGCCGGACGCAGCTTGGGTCTCGAAGAAGGTAAGCGACCCGTGTCATGATTATTAATTTGTCGTATCATAAAATTAACGCGACGAAAACCGAAAATTATCTTAATTTACGAATCGACACGAAATTACAACATTTTTATGCCACCTGCGGCGCGCGGTCTCTTTAAATTCAATGATCCGCACGAAGTGTGAGGTCTTTAAAAATGTCGGCGCTCGATCGACACCTAACACTTTCACTGAAACGTTTTTTTTTTTTTGTTTAATCTTTCAATCTTACGTAATTTTCTTTCCTCACCTCGCTCGCGATAATCTCGTCTAATTTGTACAAATAAATTTGAGTCAATATTAAAATTCAACCGAACAGCTATATATATTTGACTTTGCGGCTCGTCGGTAGCTTGACGCAATTAAAACTAATCAGATGTGATTAACACCTCATAAATTACCTCTAAGATTGTGTTAACAATTAATTAACTACTCGATTAAAAACTATGTGTGTTAAATGTGCTTTTTAATTTCTTCCTTTAAACAGCCTTCTCTTCTACCCATACCCCAGGTAAGAAAAACAAGAAGGTCCTCATGCCCCTGATGGCCGCAGCCGGTGTCAAGCTCCTGGCCCTCGCCCCACTGCTGCTGGGCGGTCTCGTCATCCTCGTCACCAAGGCCGTCGTGGTGAGCAAGGTCGCCCTCCTCGTCGCCGGTATCCTCGCCTTCCAGAAATTCTTCGGCGCCGGCTCGGGCCACTCCGGCTTCGGCGGTCTGTTCGGCAAGACCCAAACCGGATACGCCCCGGCTCCAGTTTACGATGCCCCGGCCGGTTCCTACGGCGCCCCCGTCCAACAGGGCGGCTACAACTACAAGAGGTCCTTCGCCGAGAAGCAGGAGGCTTCGGCCCAGCAGCTCGCGTACAGCGCTCAAGCACCCAACGCCGACTCGCACTAAGAGATTTCATCGAGTCTAGTTTTTTTTTTTTATCAAGTATAATTAGATAGATAGATCTTAGAGCTTAGTGCCATTGACTTTGTCTCAACGATATTGCAATTTTTCGACGATAAAATAGAATGAAAAAAAAAGAGGGGGGGAGATAACGGACAGACTTATACCGATCCTCTCGTGCTCTGGAGCGTTGACACACACGTTGATATATTGGAAAAACGATCGAGCTCGAGCGGGGGTTAAGCGTATCCGTAAGGATCGCGTTGTGACAGATGATTTTCAGAATATATCATTAGGACAATGACTGTGACGACGATATTATAGTGTATTGTGTAAATAACAAAGTGACTATAAGCGACTGTGACTTCGGAAGTGAATTTCGGAAATTCAGACTGAGACGAATAAGTATTATAAATAGACATGTAAACAGTATTTATCATTGAAATTGCCTTTCGACTAGGAGAGAGAGATGTCCCACGTTCATCAACTATCAAAAAAATTGACTTATCGTAAATTAACAAAAATTCAATCATTGGCATAGTCAAAAAAAAAGTTGAGCGGGGCTGCGCGTGTTGTATTATATTAATTAATATTCCATTATACATATGTATGAACATATCGTATCATGCTTTAATTTAGAATTTATTTAAATGTATAGATCTGACCGAGCTTAGGATAATATTCTTAACTGTAATTTTTAAGAATTTTTTTAATAAGCTGCACCATTTTTTCATGTAATTGATGAAAAGCGAATGAAATGATCTTTTCATCAAGACTGTTCATATATTTTTATAAGTACGCATCTTGAATCATGCCATTAATTCATACTTGTCATGCTCATCATCTACTTATTATGATTCATTAAGAATTTTAAATAAAAATAAATTAATGCAATAACATTAAATCATGCAATCTCAAATGATTTATTTCAACCCTATGATTATAAAAATGTGTCGTTAAATAAAACAATCGTCTTTCTCACCATGAATTTTGGTGTTTATCAAAATAAGTGACAATAATAGTTACTTAATAAAAACATAATATTATAAGAACTATTTTAATTTAAGTTAATTAATACAGCAAGGTGTCATGAATTCAACTTAATCTTTTGAGATAAAAATTTATGATTCTGAATCTTTTTGAAGTCTCATCAAAAAACGTAAACACAGCGTAGTTAGTAGACGCCTGCGTACATAATATACGCGGTCATAATAACAATAGTATACAAACTAACATATAAGCAGATGCCATAATATGGTCCGTGTACTTTTTCTGCTGGATACCGAATCTGTTATTAACAAAGGACTCGAGTACATTTTAGCCTCTGATTTTCAAGAGATCTGCGCTGAAGAGAAAAAAAGTCCAAAGTTGTAAAGGTTTTATTCAAAGTAAAAATATATATTAGATTAATATTATAATATAATATAATATAATAAAATACGAAAAAAAAAATATAAGAATATAATGTTTCTATCAAATTAAATGGTATACGGTCATTTTACCGAAGTGCTTTTCGCGAAAAACTACTTTTTCTCAGAGCTATGTATCAAACGCGTGTAACCCGTATCGAGCGCGGATCATGTACGTCGATTGGTTATCGTGATGACGTCGCGTCATCTGTCAAATTAATCGTGGTATGTTTACATGCAGTTTGACAGTAATATTTTTGAGTGTGTTTATTTACCAAGTGCAGTGCAGTTTTATGGTATTATTTTTTAGTTTGTGCCTGTACATTGTACAAGTGCAGGGTGACTATTGATTGACTACTGGAATCATCCGGACTTGTACTGAGCTCCTGTTGGTAACCCGCGAAAAACAAGCGGAATTCGGCATCAGAAGAATAGTGAAAAATGCAGCCAAGCAAAAGTGGATGTTTCATCAAAAACGCCAGCTGCGAAATGTCACCAGTGAATATGAAAGATAGCGGTAGGAAAAGAAAATAATGCAATGTATTCCGGGCGTTAGCAGCAACATATAAGCTGTAGTCTCTTTACCTCTACGTACCCCACTTCTGTCCCTACCAAAAACCAATAAAATTTTTTTTATAAAAAATGCCTTTAAAATTGAGCTATTCGGGAAAAAGGGTCTTCTGTTGAAGGGTTTTCGTAACTTATTCTTTTGAGATACAGTATTATTATTGATGTTTATTTCAATTAATGATATACATAAGGCAATGCCTTTGGTGAGATTTTATTTTAATGAAAATAACTTTTTTCATTTTAAACGATTTTGCTTTTTAAATCTTTATGAAATATCATAACGATCATTAGTTTTTTTTATTGTTAGCTTTAACAAATTTACTGTTAGTACAAAAATAAGAGTATTTGCAATTAAGATTTGAACGTCATCATTTGATAAAAATTTTAGAAATTATCTGGGAAACATTATTCTCATTGTGAATAACAAATAATGAAATTGTTAGCTATGACTCAATAAACGCATAAAACTACAAATTGCATCAGTCATAAAAAGAAAATCAAACTTGATACTCATCTTTGTATCTTTTTATTTTTAATACACGATCCGCATATAAATCAAATTAAATACTTCAACTGTAGAAGTAATTTTATCGTTATTTAGTAGTTAGTTTAGCATCAGTATTTAGTAGTTTTATCGTAGTTTATTGTAATAAATATGGGTCAAAATAATACTTTTTTACAAAACCGTGCGCACGTATATCACCGATCTTGACGCGCTTTTGGTATGTTATAGTACATGGTAAAAAGGTCCCAAAAAAAAATTTTCAGACCCCCTCCCCCCTCCTACCCCCCACTTCCGGTATAAACGTCCATTTTCGATCTATATTTTTTCTGAGGACATGAAGCAAGTAAAAAATCTGAAAAAATTCATAAAAATACTTTTCCACAATC